TGTGTGTGTGTGTGTGTGTGTGTGTGTTTGTCAAGGAGGTTATACAGTAAGGTTGTTGTAAGGTCCTTGGTGTTGATGTGAAAAAAGTGAGGGCGGTAGGGGAAGCTGGAGCGTTTCTGGGTTTGATTTTTTACTTTGACGCTCTACTTTATTGTACCGTATTGTCGTATTCTTGATACAATGTATAAATTAAGTCCACCATAAGGGATCGTAGCCCTCCTCCTCACGGACACCCTCCTGCACTGTGTATCTCCAGCCAGCCATAGTCATGTATTACCCCGTAATCTCTCAACGTCATATAACCATTGTCCTCAGTAGACTGCTATGACTTCTTTGCACTTGTGATGGACGACTCTCTGTGCACTTCCTTGTCCGTCTGTTATCTAATCCCTCATGCTATGATGATATTACCCTCTTTATGTTCCCACTTCTGTTTCATCGTGGGGTCTAAAACTTCTGTCATCTGTTTCCTTGCTGCTATGCCAATATGTTTAGCCTGGAGTACAGTGGGATATCCTGCAATGTGTTTCCAATTACTATTGCACTATGATAATACTATTACACGAAGGTATATTTCCCCCTTCCGAGCACCCGGTTAATACCGGTCCCATTAGACATGAGCGTTAGACACATAAAATGTCGCACTTTTTCAGGCCAATACAAACTATTCAAGGGTCGATGAGAAAAATAATTTTGATTACTCTCACAAAGCAGTATGGTCACTGAATATGGTCATTTTGTGATTTTTTGTTGCAACGTCCTCTTTCATTTTCAAACTGGGACTATCTCTTTCATTAATAACGATTGTCTGCCATCTGTGTCCACGTTTTAAAGTTGGTCTCTGATTAACCCACTTGCAGGAATCTTTGCATCTTTTCCGAAGTAGACCCCTGTTCTTTCTCCTTTTTTCTAGTTCTTTCGTTCTTGACACTGGCCTATAATATGTATTATAGCGGCCAGAAGCTGTGTCGTCATACACTGAAGACCTTACAGTTCGATCTCCGTTTGAGAACGTTTTAAATAGAGTATCTCCTTCTGTCAGCACCACTGACCTAAAAATATCTTTTTAGGTCAGTGATCAGCCTGGGCATTGTATCGCCCCTCTGTCTAGGTTGGCCTTGATAGGCAGGACTGAAACAGCCCGCCTTCTAAATAATCTCAATTATATCGATTGCGGAGCAAAAAATCTACAATTGCAGTATTAAATGTCCGACACAGGAGATGGTTTAATGACATTCTCCAGTTTTCCGTGCCCAGAAGGTTGCCGAGCCATGAGAACTTTATAAACAACACATTAGCAAAGCAGAGATTGCTCAACGAAGTCGAGCTTCAAACTCGTTAAATCTGATTTCGAATACATAATTCATTTGATGATGAAGCCGAGAGGGCTCTTTTATCGAAGTTCGTCGGAAGTGCAATGTAATTGCGTGAGCTTCCCTCGTTGACTCAGAAAGAAATTGCATGTGATTATTAAAAAACGTCGCACGTGTTGTGACGGCAGTTATTATGGGCTGAGAACAGCTGCGATGATGGTGATGGTGGATCGGGGGTGGTGTATATTATGGAGATGGTGTTTATGGCATGGTGGTGGTGTAGTAGTTGTGGTGGTGTTGCCAGTATTCGTCGTTGTAGTGGTGTTCAAGGTGTCGATGGTGTTTGTCGTGAAGGGGTTTATGGTGGTAGTGTTTAAAATAGTGGAGGTGGTGTTATGGAGGTGGTGTTCATGATGGTAGTGCTGATGATGGAGCCTATGATGGTGGTGGAGATGTGTATTATAGTGATGGTGGTGTTTATGATCATAGTGGTGGTGATGGTGTTTATGATCATGGTGGAGGTGTTCATGGTGGTGGTGTTTATGGTGATGGTGGTGTTTATGGTGGTAATGGTGATTTTTATGGTGATGATTTTTGTCTTCATGATGGTAGTCTTTATGGTGATGGTTGTTGTGTTTAGTAATGATGATAGTGGTGGTTTTCATCGTGGATTGAAGTGGCGCTCATCGAGGCAGACATAAATTACAAAACCAAAGAAAAATTGTCCATAACCACTTTTGAACAAACTGACCAAACGAATGGCTTGTTTAGAGATCTTTTGTACGTGCAGGAGAGGGATAGATATTGGGTTAGAGAGAGAGAGAGAGAGAGAGAGAGAGAGA